CGTCAAACACGTCGAACAAAACCTGCCGAAACACAAAGACCCACTGGAAAATCTTCGCTCGCCGAGGGGTGGTTCCAAAGGGGTGGAATTCCTACGGCTCCCGTGCACCCCCCTCTGCCCGTTCCGCAAAATCCTTTCCGTCCGGCGAACAAAAGAAAGCGAGAGCCGCGCATTTATATGGAGGCGCCGCCCTGCAACTATTTGTAAGCATCCGCCATGCTGGTTTCATATCTGCCGTTTCGGCTTGCACAAAAACACTATTTTTCAGGCCGGCCCAGCTGTGCAATATGGCGTTTACCGAGGCCGCCGGCATGCATCGACTCCGATTGCAATTGTTGCGTTTCATTGCAAATAACAGCCTCGCGCCGGCCCCGCGCGCCGCGCGCTCTCGCTCGCCCCCTGCCCCTGGGTTTCCGTGTTCTTCCGCTCCCGTGTGCCGTCCACGGAAATACACCGTTGTCTGGTATCAATCGACCCGAGCTGCGAGCGTAGGGTAGATAAATGAATGGCACCGTGTAATGCGGAATGTGTTCAGCGCTCGCTGCGCGAATTTCTTTCGCTGTTGTTGGGAGGAAACAATGGAGTAAACGTTTGGAATGTGGAAATATCGAGGAAATTAATTAGATTAATATTTAATAGAAACTCTAACAGTACGTTTATTGAGATTCCAATTGAATTATAATTCAGTACTTTCTAATAATACGAAATGGAACAGTGTAATGCAGTGTGTGTTTCGTTCGCTGTTAGAATTTCTTTCGCTGTCGCTGCGTTGTTGGGAGAAAACAACGGAATAAACGTTTAATTAGATTGCCTAATTTTTCTATAGGAACACTAACGGTGTATCTATTGAGATTCCAGTTGAATTATAATTTAGTACTTGCTAATAATACGATAAATAAATAAAATAAAGTGTAATATGCGGAGTGTGTTTAGCGTTCGCTGTGCGAATTTCTTTCGCAGTTACTGTGTTGCTGGGTTGAAACATTCAAATAAAAATTGAATTAGATTGCGTAATTTTTCTATGGAAGCTATAACACTGCATCTATTGAGATTCCAGTTGAATTTTAATTCAGTATTTACTAATAATACGAGAAATGAATAAAATAGAATGTAATAATGCGGAGTGTGTTCAGCGCTCGCTGCGCGAATTTCTTTCGCAGTTGCGTTTTTGAGAGAAAACAACGGAATGAACGTTTCAAATGTGGAACTATCGAGGAATTTAATTAGATTGATATTTAATATTTCTATAGAAACTTAATTTGTGATTCAGTAGTTACTAATAATACGAGAAATGAATGGGACAGTGTAATGCGGAGCGTGTTTAGTGTTTGCTGTTTGGATTTCTTTCGCAGTTGCTGTGTTGTTGGGCTAAAACATCCAAATAAAAATTGAATTAGATTGCGTAATTTTTCTGTAGAAGCTGTAACACTATATTTATTGAGATTCTAGTTGAATTATAATTTAGTACTTGTTAATAATTCGAGAAACGAATAAAAATAGAATATAATAATGCGGAGTGTGTTTAGCGTTTGCTGTTCGAATTCCTTTCGCAGTGGCTGTGTTCTTGAGATAAAACATCCAAATAAAAATTTCAAATGCAGAACTGTTGAGGAATATAATTATATTGCATCTATTAAGATCCTAGTTCATTTATAATTCAGTCGACAGATTTTTCAATCAGATTCGTTACCTATTTCTTAGAGAAGCATGTGTTCCTTCTCAATAACTGCAACAGAAGAATCTGGGAATCGGTCTGAATTTCTTTTGCTGTTGCTGTGTTGGATGTTTTATTTGAAATGTTTGGGAAATACATTGGTGGAAGAGAGCAGTGTGAACGATTCTTGTTGATAA